GCAACGTTATCTCACTTATGTGTGTGTGTTTAAAGAAATTGCAAGAAGCTGCTTGTAATCCCAGGGAGCGTTGCATAAATCACGTTGCAGTTGCGGGACGTCGCAAGTTTGTCGTAATGTTACGATCATATATATGGGGTCGCCCATTTGGCGACATCTTTTTCATTCGTTTTATAAAAAAACCCACTGCAACTTGCAATGTTTCCGTAATAATTTGTAATCAAATTTAGGACGATAGGTGTGCACTGCTTAACCAGAGAGAAGAACGATGTTCAACCTCAAACAACGACTGTTGCCCAGTGATATCATTCAGCTGATATTGTTTTCGATATTATTTTAGACAGAGAGAGCGATAACTTGCTCTTCCTATTCCGGGGCTAGTACAACTTCACAGGGACTAGTAAAAAGCCTTTGGACACCATGACAGTTGATCAAATATTCGTAGCTACTGATTCTATTCAACATAGAATAAGGTTTTTTGTGCAATGTCTTCTGAGCATCTAAAACGTAACCCAAATCGTGAAAACTTTCGCGAGTTCAAAATCACTGATGCTTTGTTTATCCTTGAAACTCACACCGAAAAAGCAATAAAAATAGAACTTTGAAAATAACCGGTACATATGTTCATTGTTCTATTTTCAGGATTTTGCTTGTGATATCCTTTAAAGTTAAGCTGTCTCCTGTAAACTCTCACGATGTAGGATCTCACATATAACAAGAGGGAAACGGTCTATCAGGACAGGAAATAAGTGCATTGTGTCGTTATGGCCAAATGTCAATAACAGATAGATTGCACCAAACACATCGAGCAAACATCTCTTTGTTAGATGGGAGAAGGAAATCCTGAACGTATGACACATACAATTTTTGACACCAACATTTTTGTCGTAAACTTTATACAACTCGCAAAGACAGTTTCGAGAATAGGCTTAGCTGACATTTGTTTCGCAACGAGGATATATCTTCTGGTCGATATGTCTGCAATTAAATTGCATCACAATGCTTTGCAGACCATTGTGACGTCACCGTTACCATGACGTCAGAATCAAATGAAATTACTAATCTCTGTGCCACTGAAGATGATAAGCTGTACTTTTTCCACACAAGACGCTCCTCGGCTCGGAATTTTAAACTTTTATCGACTCGTGCTGATATATTTGATATCAGAAGATACTCGGATGCATTCCGCCCGAACCCCGTGCTAGTTCTGACCATGGCCACGCTGTAGTTTTAGGGCAAAATGGATCGTAACCCCTTCCCCCCTTCTTCAACAATGTTTCTTTGGCAGATATACGGTTTGGAAGTACTGCAGTGGCTTTCAATTTCTCTCATTTACCGATACCGTATTAGACGTAATAAGCGTCCAGGGCGCTCTCAAAATTAGAGATAGGGGGCTCTTATTAGAATATTATTTTGGTGAAAAAAACATAGTTGAAAGATAATTTTCGTGGTTTATGCTGACAGCCTGAAATGTTTATACACGACGGATAAATTTTTCCAGAATTTAAATGCCCATAATTAAGGGTGCATATAACACACGAGTGCGTGTTATACACGAATAAATAAGTCTTTTGTACATTGACCAATCGGAAGGGGTGCTAATTGGGATTGTTCACTAGCCAATATATTAGCAAATATCGCCGTGGGCGCTTATTAGAGCGGGTGCTTTTTACATCGAATACGGTATGAATGATTCCCCGGTATAGGCAACAGCAAGCCTAAGCGGTTAGAACGTTAACTACAACTAAGTATATAAAAACGTGTAGACCAATCAAGAGCAGCGATGTTTGTCGCAACCAAATGTCTACCACAATCCCAACCAGAAATGCAATTTTTATTTTATGTCGGTAAAACCTAACTAAAGTTTCTTCCGGAAAACACATTTAACTGCGGAAGCTAGTTCCATGGATAGGGTGGATTGGCTATCTCGCGCAATGACAGTTATGTCTATATAACCCGCGGAGAAGGCAGTATTAGTTTAAATATCCGCCGCAGTTATTTCCTACCGCTAGCGACTACAAGATAGGAAACATCAGGCGACTGCAACAATTGCATCTTCCGGAGCAGACTGGTCTTCCGCTATTCACGAAGTGATTCGGAAAAGTACCGTCTTCTCAATCTTGCCTGCTTTCGTCTTTTATGAAGGACAGTTTCTGATTTTAGTAGAGCCTCGTCTTCAAATTAATGGCTTCCGGTCAAACCACGTGACCTGATTGGTTCAAAGACAGGCCGCTAGGCGCCTGTGAGATATAATTAGGTGAGCATCGTGCCATGCATGGTCTTACTCGCGCAACTAGCCATTGGAAAACAGCCTTGAGAAAAAAATGGCAATTATGAAAGATTGTAAGGTCTGATTTTTTCTCCTATGCTGCTGGGATCGATATCATGGTCACCTATAGTAGCTTCTAAATGTTGTCCCGTGTTTTCATCGTCGTTTAAGGCTTGAGAGATGAGATGTGTCGTATTGGGAGAAATGCAAATCGAATTAGCTTGGCATTAACAAGGTTGGAATAGATTTTACGACGGACAATCTTATGAGTGTGAGTTTAAGAAATACCATATTGGATTGTTTCTTCTGTACTGTGTTTTCAATTAAACTTCAAACGTTCTCACCATACTGTGTGTTATGGATAAGAACTGATAGAACGGATAAAGGTTTGGTAAAAAATCGAGAAGGGAAACACTTGTTCTCACGAATATCATGATTAGATTCGTGACTCTAGTAAGTCTGGACCTTCTCGCTTGGTGATACTCTGATTGTCTGAGAGAGAACCCCCCGCCCCTTCCCTCTTCTCATCTCCCCATTCCTGTCCCTCAACTGTGCAAGGATCCCCCCCCCGCAATCATTTCCCCCTTTTCTCTACACTACCATAATATCCCCATAAGCCAAACTACCTACCCCACACCCACCCCACACCAACCCATCTCTACCGTCACTATCATATAACTTGGACACGAAGATGTATGCTTTGGTTTCAAGAACACTAGTATTACGTCACAATCACCGTCCCAGATGATGGAACAAAACCACACTCCGAATTCCTAAGTGTTGCATAGAACAAATAACTTCGTTATGTGTAAAACTGTTCTTATGTTTAGTTGATGGTATTGATTTTCGCCAAATTTTTATTGCTATTAATTTTCGCAAACATTTATTGACAGTAATATGTTCAGTGGAATTTTCATGAAGACGCTCGAGTAAAACGATTCAATTTTCTTGCCTCTTTACTATTGACTAATTATAGTTCTAAGGGGCGATGTTACACTAAGACGGAAAAGGTCACTGGGTTCCAGGTGTGTAAAAGAATCTGAAGACCGGATAAAAAATACACTTTTGTTGTATATTTGCTTCAATTCTGTTTTCTTACATCTACCATAGGCAAGAGAGTTAACTGACTTTAAAAGACCAGTGGAAATGAACTTTTATAGTCAGTTAACTCCCTTGCCTCCTGAAGATGTTTTCTTACAGCCAATGTTGTGACGATTGTGGCATTATTCTCCTGAAGACTGGTTGCAATAAATTGTTTGCTAACCTTCCTCGAATATGAACTTTTTGGACGTTGATTCGCACTCGCGGTTGAGAACAAATTATTTGTATCATTACGTTTTTGGTCGTCTGAGGCACCACACAGTGCTGTACATGATTGCGTCCCTTAGGCGCGTCGGGATCCTATAATCCTGGGTTGGAATCTTAGCTTCGCTCTGATTATTACTGTTGGTCTGTCAGCCATATGCCAAACGTGCTCGCGGATTTAATCAATGGGGTAGATGTTTAATACCTGATTACTTCGGGCTCACCTCCCATGTTAAACTATAACGCCTTGATAACCGCCCACTCACTCGCTCACTATGTCGATAAGAGATATGAAAGGTCGTTTATCCATCATGAACATATAAGCGCCGATATAATTTTCCAGTACATATTCGTGGCATGATAGGTCCCTAGTGCTCTAACTTGCCGTAAAGCCGACTGATGAGTATCGGGTGGTCACAATTGTAGGGTTATCGTGTATTACATGATAAGCGGCAGATCAGAGGGAATCGAAATGGGAGTTGCGGCCCTTTGGTAATTATTATGGGATGTGGAGAAACATCATGGCGAGCCCGGTGATTAGATTTGTTTAACGCCGCTCTCAGCAACATTCCAGCTATTTCACGGCGGTCTATAAATAATCAAATTTGGACCAGACAATTAAGTGATTGACTTCATGAGCATCGACCAACGGAATTGGGATACTATGACACGCATCAACCAAGTCAGCGAGTCTGACCATCCGATCCCGTTAGTCGCCTCTTACGACAAGCATAGTCGCCTTTTACGGCAAGCATGCAATGGGTTGCTGAAGACCTACCCGGAACTTCATGGTGTTTAGAAAGTACATATCAAACGTGTTATTCTTGAATAAACCTGTGAAACAGAACAATAATGTGTGACCGGCTCATCGTGTGCCATCGTACCTCGACGGCATTGATAGTTGTTTGTGTAGCCCACTACCAGTTTCCAAGCCCCGATTATTCACAAGCTGTTACGACATACTAGTATGTAGATGTTGTAACTATTACATAGCTGTGTATTTTACTCCCTCACTGCAGACCGCCTATGTGGTCTAGTTGATAAAGCGTCTGCCTGGAGAGCGAAAGGTCGATGGTTCGATCCCCTGTCAGCATCATACCAAAAGACGTTAAAAGATGGAACGTTTTGTTTCCATGCCTAGCCCTCAAGCATTAAGGGGATAAACCAAAGATTGGTCGACTCGGAGTCGTAAAACTGTGTATGAGTGGGGTATCGATGTTAAACTGCGCCATGGTGTCTCAGTGGGGTGGCACTATTAAACCGGCATACATCCGGACTAGAACAAGCAACAACATACGCACGTTGACACACGTGGCTATATAAGCGCAATAATCTTAAACGCGACGTTAAACCCCATTTAATCTCACCTCAGCGTAAGTAAATCAATATAGAAAACTAACATATGTGTATTCCTTATCTTCAACAGGTGTCTCATGCAGCCCGAGAGCAAGGATCCTAGCTTTCACTTCGAGGTGCGCGGACCAGTCACCATGAAGGGTAAGAAGGAGCCGATGATGACGTACTTCCTGTCCAGAGGGAAACCGGAAGTAGCTGTCAAACCGGCAACCAAAGTCTGCGAGGTGTAGAGGATGTGACTCAATGGGGTGGCGCGACAGTCACCTGCACTGCTGACACCGACATGGGCAACAGCAGTGGCAACAACACCAGCAACAACACCAGCAACAACAGTGGAATGACCTGGTGGAACCTGGGCCTACCGCTGGGTCAGAGGTGTCCAGGTCCTTTTGTTAGTCTGTGGCAAGGTGTTTACTGTATTGTTGGTTCTGTTAATTGTGTAACGGTTCCACGTGTCGTTGTTTTGATGTGTGTTGGAGTTAACCTAAGGCCTTTACCATTGTCTATGTTCCCAAAGCAAACTTAGTACTGTGACTATCGCCTATGTTAAGTCACGGGTGTTACGATCACCGTAGCGCTGAGATCTCTTTGTGGAACGGGGCCCTGTAGAGTTTGTATCAGGGCAGACATGAACAGGGCACGGCTATTCAGAGAAACTGGGTCACAAGAAGCTATTATCTGTCAATGGAGAATTCATGGGAGAAAATCATCAGATCGTTTATTGTATAACATGTATACTAGTGGTGACGTTGATAGACCATGGTAAATCACACGTGTCAAGCACATGCAGTGCTTATGTCCATCAGCAGTACCAAACATGGACATTGTCCAAGAGTTTTACAACCTTTATTGTTTATTTACAGTGTTTGCCAAAGGGCGAGGTAGTTATGCAGTATCAAGCCTAGCCGGTGTATATGTACAGTGTCAAGCATTTTCGGTGTATATGTGTAATGTCAAGCATTGTCAGTGTATATATGCAGTGTCAAGCATTGTTGGTATATATTTACGTCAAGCATTGTGTGTGTATATATGCAGTGTCAAACAATGTCTTTGTATATGTGCAGTATCAAGCGTTGTCGGTATGTATGCAGTGTCAAGCATAGTAAGTGTATGTAAGCAGTGTCCAGCATAATGGGTGTATATATGCAGTGTCAAGCATAATGGGTGTATATATCCAGTGTCAAGCATAGTGCGTGTATATATGCAGTGTCAAGCTTAGTGGGTGTATGTATGCAGTGTTTTGCTCTATCAAGTGAAGATGGTGTTTATAAGCAGTATCAAACATAAACTGTGTTAACATACAGTATAAAGCGTGGGAGGTGCAAATATAATGGGTAAGCCCGTATTGTTTATCAGCAAGCACCATCATTCAGAAGTATGTCGAATAAGCAGAATCGCAATCAAAAGGGAATATTAACACAAATATCTGTATGCATGCATCAATAGATCAAACAGGTAATGTAAAAGCAGCTCCTCTGACAGGATGAAGATTAATTTTTGACACTGTATTACCCTTTTACATTTAAACAGGGCAAGGGATAGATGTATTGACGATATGTTGGCTTGATATGACGCATTGCCGACTGGCATACACCATATACAAGTAAATTGACAGTCAAAGGTGAAGCATATTTTATGAGCAACCCCGACAGAAATATTTATCTAAAACTGTATGAATATTCAAATGTGTATCCATCATCGGTACATAGGGATAATTATGATTCCCTACTTGTTGCTCAATAGTTTTGGTTTAGTTACAAAATGCATTGTTGGTAACTCTGTGACAATCTTACAATAAGCAAACTACTATCCCTGGTGTGTAAGTTTGTGTTGCACAATATTCGTTGTCAATATTGACCCAGACATCACTAACAGAACGCATTCACAAGCATAACACAATGCATATGATTATTTCCTTAATGTACGTGGATGTAGTATATTGGTATTGTTTGATACATAATTCTGCAACCAAAGTTGAATGTTTTGTCGATCTGTGTACACACCGTGTCGACATTGTCGACGGGCCAGGATTGTAAGAGAAAATACAGGTGCACATATTTTTCAACTCACTATGTGACTCGAAAGGGGGGCAGTTGACGTGTAAAGTGTCTGAAAAGAGGACGGTGGTGCACACTCCTCCCCTGGGTCCGCCAGGGTTATTGTTTTGCAAGAAGCAATTGCCGCAGGAGAGTTTTCGGCTGTCATTCATGGATACATTCATTTTGATCACGCTTTGTCGTATGACACTTGCTGTTTTGTTCCCAAATGACCAGTTCATAGGCATGTGAACTTAATAGGGATTCCTTCATTGGACTGATATTTGTTATTCTTCGTTGTACGTTGTGTTCCGAGCATGTGTACAGATGTATATGTCAGCTCACTTCAACCGCCAACATACCGCTGCTATAAACGATTATGAAATGCAATACCAAGAGTGTGTATTCGCCAGGTAATAACGTATTAATTGCGGGTAACTAGCTCCTTATAATTCCATGCGTTGCTTTCTAGGCGCACAACATGACGGATGTGAGATATGTAGCAATATGTGTTTTTTGTGCTGTGACTGTTAATCCAATGCCTCTACATGGGGTGGGCGGCAAAAGGTGTTTTAATGGAAAAGTATCGCCTCACTGTAGATAACATGTATCTTAATAAGCCGATGTATTATGAAATACACATACACGTGTATGGGTGAGAGTGTGACTGTAGTTAACGCCGATATCATCAATATTTCGATATATCTAGGTTTATAGTGTAAACTGACCCTAAGAAGAGTGTGACAAATAGCAGAAAAGTAAAGTTAGCCATCGAGCCATACTAAACATCTGGACCTTCAGTAGCTCGTGACCAGTTGTTTGAACAAGTAACATCAAATTAAAGATAGTCATCGAGCCATAAAGAAAGGCTGGAACAGCTTCAGTAGCATGTGATCTTAAGACGTTCCTGTGAAAAACCCCTTTGGTACACCCCATTTGTACAACATCTTGATTAGTCATCTCGTAAAGGACAAATTTATTCAAAGAAAAGTTATTGCCGTTTAAATGATTTCTCGGTGGCTACCTTTAACTCGACCATATAGCAGGGTCGTATGATCAACCATTGTTGTTCCATCCATACTCTGCAGACATGATGGCCATGCGATAACCTTTGGTTACAGGAGAGTAGTTATATCCTGGAATCAACACGGGGTCAGATTTGCGTTTCTTCGGACCTTTCGGTGTTTTAAAAAACATTGGCTATGGCCCAAGCTGCAGACAGTGAATTCTTAGTTGCCAAATATTTTCTAGATGAATAGTAGACTTGTTTTCAAGCCAAACAAGGAATAATAGGCTAGGTGGTGCCGTTAATATTGATTATAGTATTAACTGTAAAATCCCTTTAGCCTCGATTACAGTATATTTTGCAGGGCCACAATCTCGTTATTATTTAGGGTAACGAGGAAACATTGTCAGCGTGTTAAACATGTGGAACCGGCAGAAATGTTTACTATCTGCGTACGGTTATATATAGACAGGAGGGCGTGACTACACGAGCGGATAAAGTTACTGTGTTTGTATGAAGTTATTAACAACGTGAAACGGTTGTTATCTTGACACTAACACATTATATATAACTTTGAGGACGGTTAACCTGCAAACTTTGCTCACAGGAAACCGTATCAAGATAGTCTTTGGTCCAGTCAAATCGTTATTACATGTATCGGATTATATAGATAAATATGAACTTCGTCTTTCAGATCCCATAAAAATGCTGCACAAATTAATACGAGTTTAAACTACCTAGAAACCGAGCCATTGCGAGTATAAATATATACAAATTGCTAGAATGAAAATGTGCAATTATAAATAATTATGTTAATGTTTGAATTTCTCCATTTTTTACTAAGTCGATTTGCGTATAAGAAAAAATAAAATTCGAACTTTATAGATTTTAAATTCTTTTAAAGGCATACGAGGCCAATAGCAAGCCCGTCAGTGCGGTTTTAATCTAACGTAGGAATTTGAAAAAATATTACTTAGCATGTGAAAAATAAGACATGCGCAGTTACCTCTGTCAGCTGGTATAATGCGCCACTTCAGTCACGTGGGACTTGCTCGTAGAGGAATATACAACAATCCTGATGTAATTTATATGTACAGCTTTATCTCAATGTTGTGTCTGTGATATTCATGTGATATATTTATCCCAGTATACAGACAGAGGAGGCATTGACGGTAGCCTTACCTGTATCTCATATTATATATGTATGTTGTGGTATGTATTTTGTTGTAGCTACTGAAACAAACTTACGAAATGAAAATACCAAGAATCCTCCTTCAAGTTCCGTGTGTAAATATATATAGTTAAACCCCGTTAATCCCAGGGAAATCATCCGGATTAACAAATGTTCGGATTAACGAATAATGTGGGAGTCTGTATAGTATCGTCTTAAAGAAGCAGTTTCCGGATACACGGGGTCCGGAATAACGAGGGTTCACTGTTTGTAATGTTTTCGTCAGGGAAAGAACTTGTCCACATATGCGTGGATAGGGTGCGTACTTGACACTTTGTATTTTTATAATGGAGACGCCTATTGGATGATTGAGGTTTTTATTTCTTAAATTTGTTTTCTGGAAGTTTCGTGTTGTGTTACCAAATTGTTAGCATCTTCGTGGTTGTAATCAGGTTTGATTGGCAACTGTTCCAGTACTACCCGACTTTTAAATCGTAAAATTAATTGTACACCCTTTCCGAATTATTTATTTTTGCAGAATATATTTTAACGAGCCATGTTTTATCACGTCATTGTCAACTTCAATATGTATGCCGTGCAGGTTCTTTTAGGATATTCGTTGATTATGAGCCAAACCATTCAACCATTAATTGTTATCGATATCAACCTTCGGACAAAGTTTGTTACGAGAACTTCCACAATGTATATGTTGACGTAGTGGCTGCTCTGACGTTATCTCGTTACAAAATAATTACTGTCAATATTCAGAAACTTTGAGCATTGTTGTTGGTTTCATATTTTTGACTGACACCGTAGTTGAGTTTGGTTACAATACAATTGTTACATATCAAGTGTTAACCCTACAAGGGTGGCGAGTTGTTTGTTGTATACAAGTGTGTATTTATATACGGCACCCATAATAAACAAACAATACACTTTGGACTTATTATTTTCTTATTATGTTGACAAGACCGTCGAGAGTCGGTTGCAATTGATGCTCATGATATCAATCACTGGATTGCCTGATAGTTGTTGGCTTGACACGCCGAAGGTCCGGGTTTGATTCCGTAGATGTGTGAAGCCCATTTTTTATCTCTCCGACGTGATTTGGTTAGAATATTGTTGAAAATACATAAATACTACCTATTGAAGTATATTTTGGGTTCCGTGCACCATATCCGTGCTTGTGGGTTCACTATTTTGGAAGATCTCAACGAACTGCAAGACTCCGGGCTGCACCCCCCCCCCCCCCCCCCCCCCCCCCCCACACACACACACACACACATCATACATATTTCACACGCAGTTGCGATGCACACGTCCCTGAAATCATCATACATTTTAGAATCATATCAGAAACTGACACAAATGGACTAATAAAAATCAAGCGAAGTCAGTCCGACGTGGAAACGATTTGCCCTGAATACTTAACTATGTCTTGTTAAAAAAGTGTAATGCATAATTCATGGTCTTTTGTTTTATATTACTTATAAAAAGATAATAACAACAACTTTGACACAAATAACACCCCAGAAGAAATAAAGGCAGAACGGCACACGTTGTTTAAAAAGGGAAACCACTCCCAACTAGAGTATGAAATAAGGTTACCTGCCCCTGAGTTATCTTAAAGGTCACGGTCAAAACTATATCCTACAGACAATTTCTTTTATCCTTCCCAAATTATATAAAAGGGAGTGTCGTTTCACATCTCATTTAACACAAACTCGAATGGAAATGATAGTTTAGATAAGGAAGTTCTTTGTGTAATCAAAGTGTCCTTGGATAAAGATGACGTAGGAACATAATCTCAAGATTTATGCCATTCTTTCGATATCTTGAGCGATGGTTTCGAAAATAGGCTACTATGGCGTATGAGTGCCTAAGAATGGCTTCTCTAGAATGGCTTTTCTATACTCGCAACCTCGTTCAGAGAATCTAGAGGCTGGTGATCAACTGAGACTCAGAAATCTCAAGGGGGTCATGAATTGGATAATAGTGTTTACACTTGCTAAACGTAGCTTACAATTCGGCGTTTGCTACCAAAGAACAAGTGAAGTGAAAGCCAATATCATATTGCGTGCGGACAGGACAGGTCTATATTTCTCTAGAGGAAATTGATACTGAAGCTTGAGTTTACACTCCGAGGCAGAACAAGTTGCCACACTTCCAAGCTTGTCATGAGCCATTAGGACGTCTTCCTACAGAGCCCAAAATGACATCTGATTTGGGATTTATGTCATTTCTTTGACCTTGCAGGAACTTCTCCCCGGATTAAAATTGGTCCCCAGTCTCCAGCAACAGAGCTGGACCCCGACGGCGTGACATCAATCACTGGATTGTCCAGATTAGATTATTTGTTGGCTGCCGTCATATAGCTTGAATATTGGTGTGCGGCGTCAAACATCACAAGGATGCCAATACAAACATAACTCCTTGTGAATCAAACAGTGATACGTCTTGACATGGTAACTTAGGTGAAAAAAAGGTTTAATGTCACGTTCAAGATTAGTTTGTCTTTTGGTATTTCGCGGCCAGGGGGTCGACCTATTGACCTTCAGAATCTGATCCCTGTTCAAACGTTCTTATCCACTGCACCGCAGAGGCCGTTAACTATACAAGGTACTTTGTTAATTTTTTTACCTCAAGTGCTGATGCACACTCCATATTGTCGGGGGCACGGGGGCCCAGTCGTCTAAGGCGCCGCGATTCGCTGTGCAGAGTTGCGTCCCTTGGGCACGCCAGAAACCTATGATTGTGGGTTCGAATCCCGGTTCGCCCCGATTATGTTTCTAGGTTTGTCAGCACCATACCCGTGCTCGTGGGTTTCACCTTAGTGGTAAACGTCTGAGACCTGCATCACTTCGGGCTTTCCTCCCACATTAAGCTGACACGCCGTGATATAGCTGGAATACTGTTAAAAGCGGCGTTAAACCCAACTCACTCACTCACACTCACTCACACTCCATATTGTCAATATTTCGGTGATAGTACCCCAGTGGGTCCAGTAATAAATGCGTTATTTTATTCATGCGAACAAGGAACATTCGCAGTTTTCACATAAAGTTCATGATTTAGAGTAGATGTTTATTGGCACTGGCAGTTTTTCCTGTGCTGTGAATCTTACGTGACAAAAAACTCCAGTAAGTCCAGACACAAATGCGTCACTTCATTAATGCGCACTAGGCATATTGGTTCGCATTAATTTACCAAACAGTATATATGATCGTTGACGTTGAATTATTAGCAATCGATGTGCTGCCTGTTAAATAGCCAGAACACAAATCCTATCATCCTTCTAGAGAACTACAATAATTTGATCAAATGAGTATAACACAGTTCAACAAAAATGTCGCTTGACAAGAGCTGACAGACTTGCGATGAGCTCCAGGAGATGAGACGCCACCACGTGGTGCAACACGTGACGTACAAGCATAGAATTTATATCACATTGAGCTACTTTAAATATAAACGTGACATTTAGTCTTAAAGGGGGGCCTTGCTCCACCATCTTATAGATGTTTTAAATGATGGTCGTATTGACTGTGGTGAGGTGAGGTGAGGTGAGGTGAGGTGAGGTGAAATGGGGTTTAACTTAACGTCCAAGATTATTGCACTTATATAGCGACGTACATGCACGTGTGACACAGACACAGTATACTGACTCCGAGCCTTGTTTTAGCCCCTTTATGCCGAGCGCCAGGCAGGGTAACAACTAGTACCATCTCTTAACGTCTTTTGGTATGACGTGGCCGGGGATCTCTTGACAAGCTCCCACTAGACCACGGAGGCGGTGTAATAACTGTTAGTATAAACATGTTTTCGAACCCCTTAACAATACGTAACCATGAGCTTAATGACGTAATCAAGACACTTCAAAGCTCACTGAAGACATCACAATGTTCGCAACTTGTCGAGTAGAACCATGCTTGCCGGAAAAGGCGACTATACTTGTCGTAAGAGGCGACAAACGGGATCGGGTGGTCAGGCTCGCTGACTTTGTTACACGTCATCGAATCCAATTGCGTAGAACGATGCTCATAATGTCAATCACTGGATTGTCTGGTCCAGACATTACTATTTAAAGGCCGCGTCATATAGCTGGAATATTGCTGAGTGCGGCGTTAAACAACAAACAAACCAAAAAACAGTACTCCATTTGTTTTTCCTCTTTTCATAACCTGGGCCTGTTCCTCAAAGCGATCGTAGTTCTACATCTGTCGGATGTTTAAGTGTGGGCGTTACGATCACCACAGCGCTAAGATCGCTTGGAACGGGGCCCTGCATCTTTGTACAAACGGCATCTGAACTGATCATGATATTTATTGATTATCATTCAACAATAATTTTGGTTAGCATATCAATTGGTAAGATAAATGAAACATTTCCGAAAATGTTCATATTTAATAAGCGTGTTTCTATCAGAGAATCTTGCCTGAAATTTGAACAGGACTATACGTAGGTTCAATCGTAGGCACTTGGGTAGAGATAGGACGTCGCAGTCGGCCTGTGTGGTGACGTGTCACCGACGCAATGTAGACGCAGTTATATTAGTCTGTTTTGTCAAAGGCGTACTGATTTATCGTTCCTATCTCTACACTTTTGTATACAATTAGATTCACTCCGTATTGATAATAATGACAAATAGAATGTATTTATGAATATATAATTAAATGACAATATTCACTGCCTCGAAAGTATTGATTTTGCCGTATAAACGTTTCACATTGTAGTTAATCGATGGCTTAACAAAATTATAGCAGGAACAATAGCACTTCGACATTTGGAAATATGAATATTTTATATCCCCTTTCTTGAGGATGAAGATACCTTATCGGAGTATTATTATAACAAGCGCGGGCTTTCCTGACAACACCTAGTTTAAGGGATACATAAATATTGTCTCATTTGTGATAAACAACAGGAATAGATATTTCACTGCTTCGGGGCTCATGTTCAAGGAAATCCGGACAAGTTCATCACTGAACACACATACATATTCATGATATATTCATGATAATTGTTACTGGTGTAACATGAAGGGACGTCTCATAGAGAGTAACTGTTTAAGAGTGACAAAGGTAATTCTGAAAATAACTTTTCACGAAAGCCGAAGAAGATTATAGTTATTATTACTGGACATGTTTCATTTATAACATTATACAAATAAATTATTTATTGACCAAATGGTTCACAACCCACGTTCTATTTCTGAATGAAATTGTATAATACAGTATACACAACAGTGCCATGTATGGATTAACACATACATGTATTTACCGGATATAACATTATGTACATGTATAAGTGTAATTATATCATTAATCATTAATTATATCAATGGAGCTGTTGTGTGTCTTGGATAATTGTAAGTGCATAACAGTGTCAGACAGCCTTAAGAAACAGCATTTATAAAACATGAAGATGAAAATATTTCCTGAGAGAAGGCGTGTAACGTTTGTCGAACTGACGGTGTATTGCGATTATCTTGTGCGGATGACGATGTATCGTTGAAGTATCGATGGTTGATATCGATTCCATGCTTAACGGTCGAAAGTTTCGCTAGACTTAAGGCTATAAAAAACATAACTATACTCGCAGTTCCGATTTCACTAGTAACCTTATCAGAACATATCATTTACACCAGACTAAAATATGTCCACCTCTTTAAAAATACAAGCACATTAATAATACATGCACCGGGGAGTAGAGGACGTGTCAGGGTTGACATCGTGTTGAAGCAACACCTGTGACAATGACCATGCACAAACTAGCATACATGTACAGCCGTGGAATGAAAGTGCATCACACATAGATTAACATGCACACAAAACCGTAATATTGAACATGCATCATGCACAGATTAACATAAATGTGACCATTTGAAAATGAACATGCATCATGCACAGATTAACATACATGTCAGCCTGTGACTGTAAACATGC